CTGGGCACACTGCTGGGTCATGTTCAGCCGGCTGTCAACCAACACCCCCAGGTCCTTTTCGGCCAGGCAGCTTTCCAGCCTCTCTTCCCCAAGCCTGTAGCCTTGCATGGGGTTGTTGTGACCTAAGGGCAGGACCCAGCACTTGGCCTCGTTGAATCTCATGCACTTGGCCTCGGCCCATCCATCCAGCCTGTCCAGATCCCTCTGTAGAGCCTTTCTACCCTCGAGCAGATCAACACTTGCACCCAAGTTGGTGTCATCTGCAAACTTACCGAAGGTGCACTCGATCCCCTCATCCACACCATTGATAAAGATATTAAACAGAACCATCCTCAATACTGAGCCCTGGGGAACACCACCTGTGACTGGACACCAATTGCCTGAAGTCCATTCACCACAACTCTTTGGGCCCGGCCATCCAGCCATTTTTTTTACCCAGTGAAGAGTATACTCCTCCAAGCCATGAGCAGCCAGTTTCTGCAGGAGAATGCTGTGGGAAACAGTGTCAAAGGCTTTACTAAAAGTCTAGGTAGACAACATCCACAGCCCTTCCCTCATCCACTAAGTGGGTCACCTTGTCACAGATTTGAAAACCAGAAAAGGATATATGCGGGAACTAATTGTAATCTTGGTATAACACAGACAGTAGCATTTCCTTGTACTAATATATTACTTTCTGACAGAATTTTACCTGCCTTCAGCCAACCACTCCACATACAGTATAACCTGGCTGGTTAGAAAACCCTTGGTATATTAAAAAAGTCACCTCACTTGAACTTGCAGATTTTTCCATTTTACTACAGATGAACATTACTGGTACTAGACTTGCTCCTTCTGGGGCAAGTTACCTTTCACAGGAAGATGAAGGCTACCTTACCTTTACAATATGAAATAAAACAGGCCAGGGACATCTTTGCAGCCCTCAGCACTGGCACAGCTATACCCTTGGATGCCCACATCCAAACTGCCTGCTGAGACCTGCCCCTGCTCCACACTGCTGTCTAAACTGTGTCAAGGATGGCTGCACAGTGTTGGACTGGGCTAATTATCAAAGACCACACTAATTAATTCAATAATACAGACAAATATGTTCCGGTTTGCAGATTCAAACCATGGGTATCTTTAGGTTAACAAGAACTGTGCAACTTCCTTCCTGTTAAAGTATTCTGTATTTATTTTATTCCCTGTATTATTTCTTGTGACTCAGATGGGTTTGCTTTTGGTGACACAGCACAGTACTTCCAAACTCTGATGGGAGAGGATGTGCCAGCCACCACTGAAACTTTATCCATCTTTATATAAAAGCCAATTTTGCTCCTGAAACACCTCTTAACTGATTTCATAGATTCTTCTAAGAAATCCTTAAACCCGTTTCTTGGCATGCTTTCATAGTGCTGCCTCCCTTCATGAAGACAAATTGCTAAAGATTATTCTGCAGCTGGTTTTAGAGTGAAGACAATTAGAGGAAAGACTTACTGTAAATAGCTACAGGTTGCTGTATTGACACCTAAGAGAAATGCCTTTAGTCCAGTCAACTATTATATGTAGACAGTCAGCTAGCAACAGACTATGCCTTAGAGAGAAGCCCTCAAAATTCAATACCCGATGCTCTACAATTTCACTATTATGCACACCTCCATAAACCGTGCTCTCCGAATTTGCCCTTTGGAAAATTTTCAATACCCATGTCCATTAAGAGTTTTTAAACTGAATCCTGTAAAAATATGTGTGTCAGATACAAGCAGACGTAGTCCTCAATAGCAAATTGGAGTAAGACTCTCAAAGGGCTGCCAGCTATATTCTTCCAATGACAAGCCTTGGATACAAAAAGGTCTTTCTCCTTTGTAATGTTCCACTCAACACTAAACCAACATTCCTAGAAAAAAGAGGAAAATTGTAGGTTCTAATTGTGGTTTAAAGGTTTTATGTAGTTTGTGAAGTTGTCCAATTGCTGATCCAGTCATGTCCACTAAGATATAAGCAGTATGTGTTTGGAGCAGTAATTGCATGAGAGCAGCAGCTGATTACTTCCACGTTTATTGGCCAGAACATCAACATAGCTACTCATTTATACAAACTAACAGAAGTAAATTTTAATGCTGCTTCACAGCATTTGCAGTTGTCAAGTCATCAGCCAACAGTTCTAGAAAATGTTTTCATTTACCTGAGGTTTCACAAATAAGACTGTAGATTTACATACAGTACATTTTGCATATATGTATCAAAATTCTTGTTGAAGAAATAAATTACAAACAATGGTACAAAACCACTCCAAGCCAACCTTTGTTCAACAAGAACATATGTGTGTGAATTTTACAGTTTTATTTTTTGCATTACTCTTACAGTAAGCAAACTATTTAGTTTATACAAAATAAACCTGGAGTTTTATATAGTTAAAAAAATCATCTTTGGCTAAACAAAGCTCTATTTTTATACATATATTTACATATATACAAACATCAGCTATTTTACATGACCATGTAGGAACCTGTACACCTACTTACAATAGACAGAACATCAAAAAAAGTTTCATAATTTACAAAAAAGGAATCCAAGTCAGAACCAAAACAGTCAAAGCCCGCCCCCCCCACACCTGTACAGATAAGAAAGTAAATAAACACAGACAAGGAATAAACATCTTTGTAATAAAATACTGCCTGCTTTTTTGAGGCAGAGAGGAAGCACTTAAGTGGAGAGAAGCTATGTCCCTCAGTGCCTTCAGTACTGTGCACGTTTTGATCTCAAAGGATATGGTGAGAAGAATACTCTTAGTAGAGTCTGACTTTTCCACAAACATGAACGCTACTCTGCACACTGACTATTCTGAGAACAGATTCAGTTAGATTTAAATCTCCAATAAGTAAACAATTGTCACAAATGTTTGTAAAGAACAAGCATGGGTAGGTATAACCAATCCCCCACTGAAATCACTAGCTGCTGCTGGCACAGCATGGAAGATGACACTTGATCATCAAAAGCAAACATTTTAGAAGCAAGCACGTAAGATGGAAGACTGCCAGAACTGACATCATCACCTACTTCAGTCACTCCTTGTAACGGTTTTCAGAGCACTGCCTAAAATGAGGATGATCTGCTGTTTGGCAGCATGACAATCCATTCCATAGGTCACGGTTACAATACTCCAAAGGTGTCAGTGGCAACTTCACCGACAAATTATCTGGTGGTTTATTAGAATGAGAAGTCTGTCTCCATTGGTTGGGGAGGGAACAAAAAACCATTATGCTGAAATGGAAGAAGCGGTCATCAGATTCTGAAAAAAAGCCAATTTAATCCAATTTGAAAGGCAATGCACTTAGGTGGGGCTCTTAAATGAAGTCTAACTAAACTCAGCAGATGTTCTGACGGAATAAAGACTACAGCAATTCCGATCCTCAATAAAGAATAAAGCTTCAAACATCCATGAATTGATAATACAAAAACCTGTGCAACTTCCAGGAATGCTTCTTAGGGGGAAGAAAAAACACCCCCAAACACCAACTTCTTTGAAATTTGGGATAAAGCAGCAATATACGAGATGTGTGTGTATACATATATACACACACACTTTTAGTATGCACTAGTAAAACTGGAAGCAGTTATAAGAGTTCTTTAAAATAGAACATAATGAATTTCTGATGTACTAAACAATTTGGAAAGAGAGATACAATTGCTGTCAAAACACGCCAAGTTGACAAGCTTTTGAAACTGCTTCTTTTTACAGAAAAGTTCTTCTCCTGGTTAGTAAGTATAAAGTCACATTTTATAAAACTGTAAAGGTCTGTCTCTAAGTTAATTTTAAAAATAAAATAATTTGTCAATTTTTTTTTTTTAACAAAACAGAATGTTCATGATGTTGAAGACCTAACTTAAGTACCTTTCCCAGATGTAATTTTGAGCAGAAAAATGTATTAGCCTTTTCCAAAGGAAATAAAGAAAAAAATTGAAAAAAATTCCAATGTATTTTTCATGGACTGCCCCCCCGCCCCCCCCCACAACTATTCAAAATTCAATACTAAGTCTTTTTAAATAGCATCAGAACAGCAAAACGTTTTTAACTGCAAGACAGTTCTTTGTGAATGAATATTCATTACAGCAGTTCACAATTTAAAAGAAGCTGAAAACCTGGTCATTGCATTAATGACTGGCTTCACTCTCTCAGAGAGCTTGGGACTCATTTTATTTGACTTCAAAGATCAGAAAGTTAGGGGTTTAGACTAGACAATTGGCTTAGATTTTCTCCATTGTCAATGACGATAGATGGGCAGTCTCAAAGATAAATTCATTCATCTCTGTTGAACACTGGAGTCATCAAGAAATGGCTTAGTTAATGTGCTTAAAGTTGAAGACAAACTCCACACTCGGTGCCAGATTCCCTCCTTGAAACCCACTATGAGCAACCGACAAAGAAGCAAGAACCACCTATTTCTTACCATCAGAATCCAATTACTAGATAAGCAGCTTTTGGAATTACTGCTATCATTGCCCTACCTTATTTTAAAAGAAAAAAAGGCCTAACTTCTTAAAATATGTTTCAAGGTAACCAAGATGACGTACCTGTCATTTTCCAGGATTATCTACCAACTGGATTCCAAAGCACTTTTACTTCTTAAAATGATAGTTCAACATCACCATGTGCAGTACTTCCAACAACTTAAGCAAGAGCCACCATTTTCACTTGACTGCATGCCCTTGTCTTTGCTTATAGAATGCATTTAACCAACAGGAGATGTCACCCCCTTGAAATGATACTGCTTCATTTGTACGTGCACATTCTTTCCTAGCCAGTTTGTTTGTAAAGTTCCCTCTGTGTTACTCTGATAAAACACTTCAGAGGAAACATGGACAGGGAAGTAAGCAATTAACAGTGCATCAGATTTACCAAATTTAGTATTCTGACTTGGATACCTCCCACTAATCCCACCATATGAATGCAGTGGTTGTAGTCCATCGTTGCTGGTAACAGCTAAACCCTGTAACCACGAAGCAACTTGGTGGTAAGTTTACTTGCACTTGGATTTCTTGAACAGCTTCATTAACTGCTTGAATCTTTCCGAAACCTAATGGAGGACAAAAAAAAGACACATCATTGAGGCCCCAGATTTCCATACCTACCAACACAGACTGATCTGACAGCATAAAGTTTTTTTAAAAAGACCACTATTTTGGTTTTTTATTTGCTTCCAATAAATTTTAGAAGTAGAATTTTAGGAACACTATTAACATGTTAATTGGATGTAGGAAGTCTTCCTATACCTTTGACATCTGAAATAGCCTCCAGTTAATCACAGAGAGCTAGAGCCAACTACTGGTTTAACACAGGTTTACTTACAACCAGGAGGAAAAAAATGAAGTCTTCAAGTCAATTAGACTTGAATTTTGCCAGGTATAACTGTGAGGAAGATTCAAATGTAAGCACAAAAGCTTATTTTGTACTCCACAAAGAGCACACTTGTCATGGTTTAGCCCCAGCCAGCAACTAAGCACCACGCAACCGCTCGCTCACTCCCCCTACCCCGATGGGATAGGGGAGAGAATCGGAGGAGTAAGAGTGAGAAACACTCCTGGGTTGAGATAAGAACAGTTTAATAATTGAAATAAAGTAAAATAGTAATGATAATAGTAACAGTATAATAATGATAATAATAATAGTGATATACAAAGCAAGTGATGCACAATGCAATTGCTCACCACCCACCGACCGATACCCAGACAGTTCCCGAGCAGCGATCGCTGCTCCCCGGCCAACCCCCCCCCAGTTTATATACTGAGCATGACGTCATATGGTATGGAATAGCCCTTTGGTCAGTTTGGATCAACTATTTTGGCTGTGCCCCCTCCCAGTTTCTCGTGCACCTGGCAGAGCATGGGAAGCTGAAAAGTCCTTGACTAGCATAAGCAGTACTCAGCAACAACTAAAAACATGAGCGTGTTATCAACGTTCTTCTACTAAATCCCAAACACAGCACTGTGCCTGCTACTAGGAAGAAAATTAACTCTATCCCAGCCGAAACCAGGACAACACTTTATTGCTTATTTTCTAGCCTCTTGTGTAACTGTTGCTTCAGGTATTTATGGCTTACCATAGAATAATCTGCCTACTAGGGATTTTACAAAACTGGTCTGTAGATGGGAGTCAAACATGTTTTTGTTGAACATGGCTACAGCTTACATAGTTACCTCATTGAATTGTAAGTTAGTACTTGTTATCACTATATGCATATTGCTATAGCGTATCTATCATCCACCAAATAGCTCACTGCGAAGAGCAGCATAAATGCACAGATAACACTGTTTTATCCAACCATCCACCCCAACAGCTTCTAAACCCCGCAAAGACTCTGTAACCATACAACACAACATCCTAAAAACCAAATCCTGAGCACGCATGATTTCCTAACTTACTCAAATGGATGCTTCTCCCCAGTTTCGATTTGCAGGATGGAGATTAAGATAGCAATTCAAGACAAGTACAAAGTTATATGCAAACCTCTGGAAATGTTCTACATCAATTTGACATCCATATCTTTTGAAGTTTCTCAATTAAAAAGTGAAAGAAAAAAGGAAACATTTTCATGAAAAACGTCCCTTCTGCAAAATCCTGGTATTTTTTTCCAGCTCTAATTTTAATCCTTTTCTAATTTATTAAATGTGTGCAAAGGCTTTGAGCCTCTCCAAATTACCCGTCTTTAGCTAAGTGCTGATCCAACAATAGAAACAATCCTGTTGTCCCTGGCTTATGCTTGGACGCAGCAGTTTCAAGGTATGATTCAAACAGGTACTGAAGATCCCTGGACCGTAATATCCCTATAATGTATATTTTTAAAAAGTAACAACTGGGATAATCTAAGGTTCTTTTTTCAAGAACTCCCCAACAAAAGACATGAGGAAAAAACAACTCCAAGTTAGCAGAAAATCTCCAAAGGTTTTTGTTCAGCTGCAATCATAAATGTAGCAACATAGTTATTATCAAGTGTAAGAATGATATCACCTACCTGATTTGGGCTTTTGTTCAGCTTAGTGGCTAAGGAAACAAAGGTTTTGCTTGATGGTCCTTTTCTCTGGCATTCCAGTAAAATTTCTCGGTCATCATTTCTATAGCAAAAATGCATTTTAAAAATATTAATACATATATATGTGTACAAGCACACAAAAAAAATACGTACAGGCATATATAAAATTCTGAGTATTTCCAAACTACGGAACATGAGTTCAAACAGCAGCAATGAACTTACGGAGGTTCCTCCCCTCCACCAGCACAGAGTAACAGAATCAGTACAAACAAGTGGTAGTGGAGATTATGCTACCTTATTAGGAAGGGCAGGATTATCACAATAGCGTTAGCCCAAAACCAGAGTCATCAAAAAGAGTTTTAAGCTCCTAAAGCAGACATTTAAACTTGAATTGAAAAGAACTCATAAATTCAACAGGGGCTGGCAGTTCTAGGTGGACTTGCCTCAGTTTGCATGGCTAGGCAGTGGCTTTCACCTCAGGCCCACTGATGTTCAAGGATTAAACAGAGAGGTGTCTGACTTCTGTAAGCAGCCTAACATAACAAACACACTCAGAGCACATCTACTGTTCACATGGGCATAAAGGACCAGGAGTCTATTCTTAAGTGTATCACCGATTTGCTGTTTGTGTCATTAATAAATTTAGGTATATGTAAAATGCATATAGAGACAGTCATTATGTAGTAGCTACTACGTATTTTTGGTTGAAACATGCCATATTCCAATAAATTATGTTTAACTTCCTCCATTTCAAAGAAAAATGTAACGACTAGTTATTTCAATAAACTTCTTTTTTTAGGTATAGTTCAAAGAGGTACAAAGACTGCGACACAAAAAACCTAATTGTATTCATAAGGAAAACTAATAATCTCTTCCTATCTCACTGGCTTGCATGTTAAAAATCGTATTAGCTTTCACAGACTTTTTTCCATGAAGAAGCTGATTTTCTTTTAAAATGCTACCTAGAAACTTACTTTATATCTGAACAGATAAGAAAAGTCTGTCCTGAAAATTTTAGGAGCCCCTTTATAAAGTGTTGATTGTATCAAGTTGTAGCGAGAACAGCATCACCTGCTAACTATAGTTTCTTAAGGGTAAGAATACACCACAAGAACTTTGCACGTATCTTTGTCACATACAGTCACCTCATTTGTCACTCAAATCCTACTAACTGGAATATATGGGCTGAATGGTTGACTAGTACATTTCTGGAGATTGAGCAGTGTAGACCCCAAAACAGAGAACTGTTTGCTCTCATGCCTTCTCTCAGCAGGGGAAATCTTTAGCTGCTCTCCTTTATCCAGCCACCAATGCTTCCAGGCCTTGTAGAAACATCAAAGACTTCTATCCCCTACCAAGCCTGGCTGGAAATTTTGGACTGGAAAGGAAATGGCAGGGAAAACATAAATTATAGACAGTGCAATATAGTAGGTCTTGTCACCTTAGCATATAAGCTTTAAAAACAAAAGCAGAAGGTACTCTTGTTTTGGGAGATGTGGGTAAGTGATGGAATTAGTTATGACTATAGAAGCCACCTTCTTTAGGGCAAATCTGATTTAAACTACCTAAGAAATGACTAAAAATTGTTCTCATCCAAAGGCTGCTGCTGCTAACAGGATTACATGAAATCAGTTCATCACTTAAATTTGTTTTACCCTGGACAACTGTTATTAAAAAAAAAAAAAAAAAAAGGATAAAATAGACTTTGGCACCTTTCAGTGGTACTCTAAGAGAAGACATCTGTCTCGTAAAGTCATCCTGCATAGATAGGAGGGTCCCACTCCACTCTTTACAGAAGGATGTAGAGCCACCAAATAACTTCAGCCATCAACTAAATATCCTTTTCTTCCCACATTTCAGTGTATCATGTAGTTAAACCTCCCCCCCCCCCCCCCCCCCCACAACCTAAAACAATCAAACAGATCAAATCAGAAATTACCTTGTCCAGGAAACTACTACTTCTCCCTTCTTTTTAATGATGTTTTTGGCATACAGACTAGGTGATGATGCAGACGAAGCCAAAGGAGAAGAGTCTTTGTTCTGTGGCAACTCATTCTTCTTACCAGAACATCGTTTGAGTGCTGAATTTACCTCTTCAGGTTTCACATCACTTGCATCGCCCCCTTCACCCGCTGATTCAGTTTCTTTTCGTTGTCTTTTTGAGTTAGAATTCTCTCTGACAGCGGCCTCCTTTTTCCTTTTTTTACTAGTTTTATCATCTATACTTATCTGACATCCTACAGCAGTGTTCGAAGTGGATTTTGTTTCAAGATTACATTCACGTGCTGCAGTCTCATTGGAAAGCTCTTCCGTCAAGTCTATAAATGCATCAGAGCACTCTTCCAGTTCTTCCTTTTTATCACTGTTTTCTGAGTTAGCTGTAGAAGTTTCACAAGTCCTCTTATCTGCAGTGGATTCCACTGCAAGACATGAAGTTTCACTAACAATATCATCTGTTAAGTCTATGTATGACTCTACACTGCATCCAGCAGGAAAAGAAGCTTGAGATCTAACACCCATTTCATTTACTTTTTCAGATACTTTCAATTTGTGTGTCTGAGATTGCTCAGAGCCTTCATCTGGGCTTTCAATGTCATGGCTCTGTGTGTGTGAAGATTTTCTACAGGGTCCAAGCAACACAGTAGTTTCTTCCTTTCCAATACTATTATGTGACTCCTTTAGAGGCTGAGGTAAGGCAGGATTTTGTCCTTGCTCAGTGCTAACATGAGGCAACTGATCCGTCTTAACCAGCTCTGGTTTGACAGTTTCCTGCACAGTGGCTGCTGGGGCACTCTGACTATCCCTTTCTTTTTCCCCACTTCTCATTTCTTCTTTTTCATTCTTGGTTGAGGATGCCCGTGCTTCCTTCACTGAAGCCATTTGATCAGCTGCTGGTGAGGTAGATGGCACTGCACGCCTAATCTTTACAATAAAATGATCATTGGATTTCTCCATGATTACTGCTTGCATTGGTAGGCTGGGGCGACACTGAAAACCAGGAGCAACAGGACGACTTGTCCATGATGAAGAACAACTTGATTTACTGCTTGAGTTATCAGATTCTAAAGCCAAATGAATGTCTTGTTCAGTGGCATCCTCCTCTTCAAGAAGTGCATCTTCACTGTAATGTGCACTGAGAACACCCTCGGGAGTTGAGCTAGAATTATTCTCAGGTTTTAGGAAGCTGAGGTGAGCATCTGATTTCAAAGGTGATGGAATAGTTAAGGAAACAGCCAAATCTTCAAGGAGGATAGAAGAAACAAATGGCTTATTCTTTTGTAAACTGCATTCATCTTCTTTGCATGAAGCGGCATTTGTAGGAACCTCAAACATACAGCTTTCATCTAGTACGTCTGGGTCAACAGACATCTGAAGCCTAGATGTTAAAGAAGGAGCTCTTACAGGTGAAACAATAGGCCAGTTAATATCCCCTACTGGTCGAGATTCCATGCAAGCCTCCTTTGGAGCAATCTCTTGCACCAGTCCAGCCGTATTACCTCTGCATTTATGACTGTCTAAAAACTGTTTTTCCGGTGTCCTGAATTCCCACTCATGTCTGTCGATATTGCCACCATTTTTTTCCAAGAGATCCGAACCTTGCAATAAACTTTTGAAAATTTCACCCATTTGAGCATCACTTACAAGATTAAACGTAAGACTGGACGCTTGTTGTTCTGTGAGAAGCTCATAACTAAGATCAGACTTGTTAGCATCTCTGGATAGCTGGAATCCTTCCTTTTCGTATTTTACACCCTTCAATGGAGTGAGAGTGCCTTGCAAATTATTGTCTTTGGAGAGGTGCAGTTTGGTTTGGGAATTCCTCGTGTTATCAATGGAGTTAAGACATTTTGTAAAGGCAATTTTTGGTGCATCTGTTTTATTTTTCTCATGGTAACACTTAGGTCGTTGATAATCCACAATTTGCTTCGAAAGGATATATTCTTCAGGCTTTTGAGATCTGGCTTTCAGGGACTTTTTTCTAGATCTTTGCATATCATTTTTATGACTGATTTTGTGTTTTTGCTTTCCTGCTCTTTCAAACTTCCTTTCCTCACTCTCATTTCCCACATTTACTACATCACAGAGTTTTATTATAATTCTCCTTATCTTTTCAAATAAGTAATCAAGCTGTTCATCTACAAATTTCCATAACTGTTTTTTCATATCTGATACCTGTTGCTCAAAAAGACGGTCCACTATTGCATTCTTTTTAACTTGCTTAAGTTTGGACTCTATAATATCACAGATATTCAATTTTAATGTCTCACCTAATGTAGACATCTTAGAAAAGCTCAAGTTTTTTATTAACGATGTAAAATTTATGATACCAGATTCTATAATTCTGTGAAAGTGCTGAACTGGAAAGTGTACCTTGAACTTCATATAATTTTTCCTCATCTGCTTTCGTATAGCTCTTAGCATCTGCATGATTTCTTGTACATTTGAAGGTTCAACAATAACATGAACTATTTTCTCAAGACAAGCAATGCTCACAGTTTTATTTTTCTTCATATCCTTTGAAGATCTGAAAGTCTGATTTTTATGCCTCTCTCTATTCTTCTTTGTACTTACTTTCACAGAAACAAATTTTCCATTATCTTCATTGCAACGCACAGTTTTGCTCTTTTGATTCTGCGGACTGCTGGTCAAATTTCGTGTGTCAGGAGAAACTTTTGGTCTTGACTTTTTTGTCTTTTCAGAGCATCTTTCTGGTTTAGATTTTTCTTCATCTTCATCACTACTTACGATTTCTCCTTCTTCTATTTCATCTGAAGAGATACTCAGCTGGGACTCCATCTCTAAGTGTTCATCAGACATGCTAACTGGCTTTTGATTTTCTTTGTTTACCTCCTTTGACAAATTCTTTGAGGGACAGACGACAACTGTACTTTCAGGAACTAAATCTATAAAAAGAAAACAGTTTGCTAATCACCATAAAAAATGCAATCATAAACAGACATTTGCAGAAAAACCTGGAAGATTCTCTTGTGTAAAGCGACAGTTCAGAACAGTTTGTTTGAAACGGCCAAGGACAACTCAGGAAGTTTCAGCTATAAAAAGTTGGGGCAGTTTGCTTCAGCAGCTGCTAATTTAATGGGATTTTTCTGAGCTTCAAAGGGCAAATAAGACCTCAACATTTCACCAAAAACATGGTGATGTATCTCATGAATATATCCATTGAAAACAGAAAAATCCAACAGTTTGGGTCAGTTTTGAATTTCTTTCCATTCACTTTAACAAGTTTTCTGAACACTGCACAAACTGAATTTTAACTTTAACATCATTATGGACTAACATTTACATACAATAGTTGGGGGTTTTTTAGCAGTTTCACAATGAAAACAAAATGAGCAGTACAAATGACCGATTAATGTTTGCATTCAACTATCTTTTCCAGGGCTGATAAAAAGGTTCTACTTAAATCATCAAGTCTTTCAATAAACTAACTTACTAAACAAAAAGAGGACTAGGCACTGTACAGATGATTATATCCTATTTCAGTTTTTGACGCATTTAAAATTACCAGCAATGTAATTAAGCACCACAGCATAAAAAGGTTTTTTTCCTCAGAAATTTTGGAGAAAGCCTTCAGTTCAGGTTCCTGAATGGTAAGTATATGGACTGAGATATGCGAGAGGAAAGGCTAAAGTTCTGCCAAATGTAGTATGCCTTACTTTGTCTCACAAATAAGTTTATTAAATGTTTTATATTTTTGAGATATCATTAAATATAGATTCAATCATTCTTTAAAATTCAAACCAAATGCTATTTTGTTAAGAAAAATAAGCAATTACAATCAGCTACAAAGCAGTATGTTACAAAAGATGAAAAAGCAAGCTCATTTCCATTGTACAAAAATTCCACTGAAGTGTGTATGTATTGATTAATGAGATTTGCAGTTAATTTTAGGCTTGCTGAGCACCCTAGTTAATAAAACACTCTCATGTTCACTCGCACACGGATTAGACTGCTTAATGACATCTAACAAACATTTAATGTCATAAAAGAACATATCTAAATTGCTCTCCATAGAAAATGAACTTGTGATTAACACTTTAAAGCAACATTTGAAAATGTGTACTCTTTACAGATTCTACAGGAGCACAAACCTACCCCACCACTGCCTCCATCTCAGTTTTACAAGGATCAATATCTTCTCAAACTAATCACTTCAATATTTTGACAAACCAAAGTATAAAATGAAAGTGGTCAAATTATAGTATTAGCATATGTACCCCTGTCCTGCAGAACAGCACAAAGGCAAGTACTGAATTTCAAAGCCAAGAGAAACCATAGCCTCCTGTCAATTTAACAGATGCAGAACATTTGACACGCGTATCATTAGTCAGATCACAAAGACAACTAGGCATCACTTCAGAGCTGAAAATCACTGCTTTATAATTTAGTAGCAAGTTCTGGACAGGATGGATTCCTCTAATGAGTAACTCAGGGAAACACTACAAAATCAGAAAAATACTTTTATTTGATGTTCATCTACTCTGATCCCAAAGCTCTTGTGTTCCCCCAGATATTTCAAAGAACATAAACTGCTGTAGGAATGAAATATAATCTGCTGAAAGAATTCACACTTAAGAGAGTAGCTGTCTCAAGCAGAAGAGACAGAATTCCAGAGTACACCACACTAAGATTTGCAAAAAGACAGAAGGATTATGCTCCAAAACATAAGAACAGGGATTTAAATGTCACCCTACCATTCCTCTTCTAGCAGAAAAAATAAATTTCAAAAAACACTTTTTGTTAGTTGCAGCATGACATGACAGGAAGAGTCACATTCACACAAGTAAAAGATTTAAACTTTGGGTCACCTATTTTCTCTTCCTGTGAGTGCTGTCACCATGTTTTATCTCCTTGACATCTTATTTAGGAGTTGGACCTTCTTCATTAATGAAAAATCCTAATGTTGTTGTATTTGTTCTACTTTTTTCCCCCACCGACTGACTCACAATT